TATGCTTCATTATATAATCTAAACAAAAATAGCTTCTCTGAAAATGAATTAAAAGCTTTTTTCTCAAAGCTTAAGCTTTCTAAATTAAAGCCTGATAATCTATTAAATTTAAACAAACCTATTGAACTTGAGGAAATAAAGAGAACAATTGCCAAGCTTAGTAACGGGAAAGCACCTGGTCCGGATGGATTTACAGCGTATTTTTATAAATCCTTTGAGTCGGTGATAACCCTTTTACTATTAAAAACTTTTTTAGACATAACAACCTCCTAAGAGTTTTTCCTCTGAAATGTTAAAAGCTACGATCTCCCCAATCCCAAAACTCAGGAAAGATCAACATTATATATCTAATTATTATCCGATTTCTCTCATTAATCTTGATATAAAAATATTCTCAAAAATCCTAGCAGACAGATTGCCCCAGATAATCACAGACCTAATTCCTTTTGATCAATCTGGCTTTATAAGAGGAAGATCAGCTAGTGACAATATTTGTAATATTTTGAATATGATGATAGAAGTTGGTAAAAAAAAAACCTGTGCCTACTGTTTTTATAGCAGTCGAAGCCAAAAAAGCATTCAACAGGGTAAATTGGATATTTTTATCCGCTACACTTTCCGCGTTTGGACTTTGGTTTGCTATTAAAAATGGAACCGCCAGGGATGCCCATTAGCACCTCTTCTTTTTATTCTTTATATTGAGCCACTGGCAGCGTACATAAGACAAAATTATAATATAACTAGGGTGAGTTTCGGTAATCAAGAACAAAAATGACTATGTTCGCCAATGACATAATTTTGACTTTAACAAACCCTGAATCCTCCATATCATCCACACCACAGTGTATAGAAGAATATAGTACATTCTCTGACTATAAAATTAATATGCAAAAAACACAAGTTCTTCATAGTAATCTTTCAAGTTCACTAATGAGAAATCTGAATAATAATCATAAACTTAATTGGCCCAATTCCTTATGTTGTTTGGGAATATATGTGGACTACTGAGAATTAAAACTTGCTCCTTAAAGAATTTAGAAATACGATTTCAAAATGGTCTAAACTACAAATATCTTGGCTTGGAATAATCAATACCATTAGAGCATATTTACTTCCAAAACTGGAATATCTATTCAGTACGATTCCTCTTAGAGTCCCAAAGAAGATATTTCAACTGTTACATGGTTTATTTGTACCCTTTGTTTTGGGTAACAAAAAACCTAGGATTGCGCTTAGAATTTTGTCAGCTAGATTAGCTGAGGGAGGTTTATCCTTCCCGAACATATTCTATATTCACGATATGGTTATGTTTTCACACTATTTAGAATGGGGAAACGATAAATCAAAATTGAAAGCATGGTACATATATGAAAAGAACTTATGTGATACTTTTGACACTTTTGATCTCTTTTGGGTTGATAAAAAACTTTTTTTTAAACTTGACTATTGATAATTAACTATATCTCACATTTTTCAATCTATAAAACCGATAAAGAAATATTTTTCCTCCCAAAATCAAATCTCCTCAAATGCCCCTTTGAAAGTCCTGAAGTTTTTTATTCAAGAGTTTAATCTATCGGGATGGCTATTTAGAGACAGAGTAAAAATTCAGGACTTATATGACATCTCTGGGATTGGTAGTTTTTTGTAACTTTGGGATAAAATTGGCCTTTCAAATAAAGAACACTTCACTTATCTAAGAATAAAAAAAATCCTCCGTAAGATAACTATAATTAAAGACTCACCCTTCGATAAAATCCTCTTTGGAGAGGCTAAAAATAAACCCTCAGCAGTTAGAAGATCTTTGGAGATATTAAACCAGTAAGTAAAATATAACACTATCTCTAGATGGGAGATCGAATTAAATAAATATTTTTCCTGTCAATATTGGTCAAACTCATTTGAAGCATTAAGGAAAACGGTCCATTGTATAAGCATACAAGAAACATATCTCAAACTTATCCATAGATGGGATATGGTTCCTACAAGAACAGGTAAGTTCCAAACAACCTCATCAAATGTCTGTTGGCGATGTAACAATGAACGTGGCTCATTCAAACATATTTGGTGGGATTGTATTGGACTGGATACTCTTAAACTGGAAATATCTAGACTCTTTATTGATCTAAAGTTAAATATTACTCTGTCTCCAGAAAGATTTTTATTCTATTTAGACTTCCTAAAAATGGATAAACCTTCCCAGTACTTGACTATACATGTTTTGATGGCTGTCAAACTTTGTGTTGCCAGGAAACAGAATATATCTTCTTCTATAGCTGAGATTAAAATTTAGATCCAATATCAAGGTCTAATGGAAAAGGCTGTTTATTTTAAAGATAATAATATTGGCTCTTATAATAAGATATGGACAAAATGGTTTGATTACTATAAATTATAGTTTATCTATGCCTTAGTATAACTAACAAGCCTGGCAAGGATATTCCTATAAGACAAATTGCTAATAACTCTTTTCCGAAAATGGCTCTAGACTCAATTATTAACTAATATATTAAGAAGCAATATCGATTCCACCACTTTCAGATTCTGATAGTTTACCTTATAATTTTATGTTGTAATTTTATGTTGCGTGTTTTATCTATGTTTTTGTATTGTATTGTATTGTGACGAGAGCAATCTCGCCACATTGCGTTGGAGAAGCCTGGTTGCTCGCCTGCTGCCTTTGGACTATGGCCCCACGTTAAAAGACATCTTTTTCACTGCAGAAAAGACTTCTTCGTGCTTTTCTGCCCGGTGTTCGGTAGATTCTCGGATTTACTGAATGAACTCATATAACCCAGATAGGTATGCCATGGAGCCTATTCATGTAATAAAAGACTTTGGCTCCATGGCAATTGAACTGTATGTGTTTGTGGTCTGAGTGCCATTCAGTATTAATGTGCGCTCAGACCTAAGCTATCTGGGCATATGTTGCATGTCTGTATTTTATGTCATAAATGTAGCCTTGTGTATTTTATTGTATTTTACTGTCTTTTTGCTGCCATGTGTTCAATGGAGTTTTGCCTCTGTCTTTGGAGATAATTGGATTACTTCTAATTATCTCTAGGATAGAAGGCTCTGTGGAACTGGTTTTGGGCAGAAAAGCCATGCTTCCTGTGGTCACAAAGGACTACGATCCATCTTTTGAACCACTGGACCAATTTGTATGATTTTGACGTATGTTTGTATTTGGAGTATACTGATTCTGAAAATGTAAGTTTATGTGAATGTGATGCATACTTTTCAAGTTATGAATAATGTGGAAAAATTGTATTTCTCTGCTTGTGCTAAATTACATTACCCATTGTGTAAGGTAATTGAATCACCGGCAGAGGGGAGGATTTTGTGTGGGAGTGTCTGAGTGTATTGTATGTGTTTATTGGTTGTGTTCCAAAACCCTGTGGGTGGTACTAATGTGTAAGAATGTCTTCATACGAACAATAAACCCACAGGTCTGACTGTTCACTGCTTGACCCTCAACACGGAGCTTTGTCTCGTTCTTGGGAGGATTTACTGTATGCTGTTCCAGTTCGACTGCTAGGAGTGTAAACCTATTTGTATGGTTTTTCCTATTCGGCTGTTTACAGCATTCGCATGGTTTCCTGTTCAGCGCATTGGTGTTCTGCAGTAGCTGTGCCTGTGTCTCTGGAAGGGAAGATCTACTAAACGGCGGTTTAACCCTTTTATGCTGAGGGTGCCGTTACATGTATTATTTATTTTTTTGACGATTCAAACTCTGATAAAGAGTTCAACTCAAGTTATATTAATTCCAGATATTAATGTTTTAAAAATAATCCAGAAATGAAATAGATGGAGATTCACTGTAAAAATTTGATATATTTATCTAGTTTGTTGCAGCTTGAAAAAAGATGTTGAACTCAAATGTTTAATATTGTCTAATATTTGTCAATTTGCAAAATTATAATAATATAAATTAAAATTAATAACGCCATCTCGTGAGACATTTTGTCTTGTTTGTTTTAGTATATTATGAGGCCATCAGTACCCATGGCCATCACCACAGATATGAACACAGATTCGTATAAACATATATGCAGCCACTGAGCATAGTGTCTTTTATTTTATTTTTTATTGTAGCTCAATTTTCTTTTGTAGATAAGAAAACGATCATGAGATTTTTATGTGCAACCCTGATTTGAGTTTGTTGCACACCACTTATGGTCAGAAAACCGAATAGAAAAACACAGAAACTGAATAGCTGGAAAATAGAACTTACTGTTATTCAGAATCTGCATTGTCTGTGGGAAATACAGAGCAAATCCAACCGTCTACTGATGCAAATCGCCACATGAGATCTGATTTTGTCCGACAAGCTGTCTCTTTCCTACCTGCTGTTAAATCTCACAAACAATTTGGTACTGATTTTTTTTTTCATTTTCAGAATCATTTTCTATTTATTGCACAATGCACTTTAAACTCTTCATACCTGCCTACATCATACCAGTTCCAATAGAGAGTCTAAGTGTAAGAAATATGACTTAATTTATTACATAAAGGATGTGAGACAACACAAAGCAGTTTAACACCCATGGTGTTTATTTTATCAAGATGGGTTTATACATTCTGGATATGTTTGAATATTTACTAATAGATAGGGTCAACTCTTTGCTTATTTCTGGTCCCCAAGGCAAACTTACCACATATCCTAGTTGCTGTTTAATACATCATAATGCTTTGAGTCAGAATAATCCCAAATGGCTCGAATTACTATATTTACATTTGCATTTACTTTTATTGATATATACTTTCTGAAATTAGCATATTACTTTTTTAAAATCATTTATTATATTTAAAAGACAATACTGTCACCCTGCTTGTTTGGTTAAATGGACACCATAAACAGCAAAACAACTTTATCATGGGGGTGTGGCTTGGATGCCGACCGGAATGGCCGCATAGAGAGTAAGCTCCCGCAAATCCACTTGCAATCGAGCACAATTAAACTGCATCTCACCTCACAGTGCCCAACAAACTAAACCACAATGCCCTCTGGGAGATCGGGTGCTAAACCGAAGCAGAAAAAACAATCGTCACAGCTCACAGGCGCCCTGACAGTCGTGGACCTCCTCATGGCCTCCAGAACACTGCAGGCCCAACAAGATGGCTGCCGGCATAATACACGCGACGCGGCCTCACCAACCCACGCACAGAGCGGCAACCATCCAGACCCACAGACCAAAGAAACCTCGCAAATATTACAACAACTAATGGACATAAAAACCTACGTGGTGGCCAAAATAGCGCGGAGCTCCAGAGAGGTCAAAGCAGAAATCCAAGCTCTGGGCATGCGCATCGCAGCCCTGGAGACTCGGGTTGAGACGGTGGCAATAGCACATAATGAAGTAGTGACACATGCCACACAACTGAAAAAGCACCTGCTGAACTTGGAGCTGGAAATGGAAGCTCTCTCTAATCGATCCCGTAGGAATAACTTGAGAATCTACGGCCTACCGGAAGATCCTAATGACACTAGAATATTATTTAAAACATATTGTTCCAGACGTCCCCGATGATCAATGGACAATTGATTGAGCGCACAGAGCCCAGAGGGCCTGCAAAGCGGAGGGTAAAGTACCCTGAGATATTATACTCAGATTTCATTACTTTACCACCAAGGAAGCTGTACTCTGCTATGGCAAAGAGAATGAATACTCTTACAAAGGGGCCACAATCTCATTATACCATGATCTATCCCCGGCCACCCTCCAGAGAAGACGAGACTGGAAATCAGTAGCAGACCTACTTGGAAGCCATGATATCCACTTCACATGGGGACACCCCTTCAAAGTGGTTGCTTTCAAAGTTGGAAAAACTTACACGCTGCTACCAGGAACCGAACCGGGACCCTTCTTCCGAGACCTACAGATTACCCTACCAACGAACTTTTCAATACCGCCTGCAGTTTATCCCACCCTGACCACCCTACCCAGAGAATGGCAAGATGTCAACAACGCCTGAACGGCCTCTCGGGCACTTTGTTGGGACTAATGCAAGGCAGTTAAAGAGATTCCCCAGCTGGTAAGAACTGGGAGTCCAGCAGGGCCCACTCCAAACACAAACCATCCGGGACTGTAACTCACCACTCAAAGGCTACCCTTATTACAATGATACCACCATTCCAAAGGGAGGGAGGGAGTTTAAAGGAGGAAAGAGGGGGAACACGAGCTAATACTGCCCGCCACATAGACCCGATGAGGGCACCCACACGTAGCTACTACGGGCACGCATCACCCAGACACTTCTATCCCTGAACGTTAAAAGGCTGAACTCCCCTAATAAGCATAGGCTACTACTAAAGGACCTTAAAGCCAAAAAAGTTGCCAAAGCATTCATCCAGGAGAGCCATCTCCCCAAGACGGCTCCAGTCAAGCTGACAGACAGACATTACACAGAAGGGTACGAAGCTAGGATGGGACGTAAACGGGCATGGGTAGTAATCCTAATCAATAAAAATTGTCCTCTCCGAATCACGACCACACAATCCGACCCAGCGGGGATACTACTCAATGTCTATGCCCCTAATGAACCAGACCCCTCTTACTGGTCTACTCTAGAATCCGTAGTCACTACCATGGGAGGCGGAATGCTAATAGTGGGGGGGGACTTCAATGCAGTCCCCTCCCCCGCTGTAGACAGAAGCTCCAACCAGGCACAATGAGATCACATGGACGGGGCGGACAAGACAAGCTGATGCACACATTCATGACAAACACAAACCTGATGGATGTATGGAGACTCCAATGTCCGAACTCCAAAGACTACACATTCTACTCTACACCACACGGTACAAAATCCTGCATAGACAACATTCTCGTGAACAAAGTAGGTATGACCAAAATACGACACTCAGACATCGGAAGCATCACTTGGTCAGACCATGCAGACATCAGGGTCACACTAGATAAACTACATTTTACGTCCACATGGTCCTGGAAACTTAACACCAGCCTCCTACAAGACAAAACTATTGTAGAATCAACCAAGACAACCATACTAGACTACTTCACCAACAACGTCACAACAGAAACAGACCCAACCATGACATGGGCAGCACACAAAACAGTCATAAGAGGACACCTTATACGAGCAGCCACACACAAAAACAGACAAAACTCTGACTACTAGCAGACCTCAAATCCGCCCTTAGAAAAGCAGAACAACAGCAGAAGACCAATCCCACGGCCACCAAACTAGCAGAACTCACAGCCATTAGACACTCCATAAAGGACATATCCCTGGGGGAGGTGGCCCGATCGGTACTGTGGTCCAAAAGATTGTTCTACGAAAAGTCCAATAAAATGGACACCCTACTGGCTTACGCCCCAAACAACACAGAAAACCAATCACCAGGCTCTACACAGACACTCACAAGATTGTTAACACCTCCGCTGCCATAAACAAAGTATTCACGAAATACTACAAAGAATTATATAACCACTCCCCAAACCTCACCGATGACAACACAGCTTACACCGCGCAAATACAGGATTTCCTTACCACTGCCAACAGTGTCAGTATCAGAGGCCGAGACCCTGCAGGCCTCGATCGAAATAGATGAAGTAATAGCTGCCATAGTGACCCTCAAGGGCACCGAGCCCCGGGACCAGACGGCTATGACATCTCATACTATAAGAAATTCAAAGAGGAACTAGCTCCACACCTTGCCACAATCTTCAACCATTTCATGCAGGGAGGCTCACCAAACATAGACATGGCCACAGCCAATATCATACTGATTCCCAAACCAAACAAGGATGACTCAATAGCCTCAAATTACAGACCCATTTTCCTAATTAATTCAGACCTAAAAATCCTAGTCAAGATTCTAGCCACCCGATTAACACCACTACTGGACAAACTTATACACCCAGATATCAGGTGGGGTTTATACCTGGTAGGCAGTTATACGAAAATACCAGAAGAAACGCAGACCTGATATGGTGGATGAGGGAATATAAAACCCCCTCCCTGGCTCTTTCTCTAGCCATAGAAAAGTCATTTGACAGGGTCACCTGGCCTTTCTTATTTCAACTACTCCACTCACAAGGACTCCCAAGACCTTTCATTACAGTGATTACGGCGCTATACACAAACCTACATGCCCAGACCCTCATCACAGGCACAAAACAAACCCCCTTCCCCTTGAGCAATGGTACAAGACAGGGCTGCCCATTGTCCCCCTTGCTTTTTCCACTTTCCCTGGAACCACTTCTACCAGCCATTCGCCGAAACCCGCATATCTTAGAGGCCAACAATTCAAAGTCTCTGCATATGCGGACAACATCTTACTAACTCTAGAGAACCCATTGACCTCTCTGTCGCACCTCACCCCACTCCTGCAAAAATACGGGTCCCTATCCGACTACAGGGTGAACCTCACTAATTTCCTACCACAAGACATAGAAACCATAGAAACATATCACAACGCCTACAACTATCCCGGGATGAATTCACCTACCTAGGGATTTGACTGACTGCTGACCCTAAACTCCTATAACTACACACCCTTATTCCAGACCCTCACGAGGGAACTGGAGCAATGGACAGATAAACCAATATCGTGAAGATGAATGTGCTCCTGAGACTGCTCTTCTTGTTCCAGGCCCTACCGGTGGGAGTCATGAAAGGGGATCTGACAGGTATACAAAGGACAATTGATGCCTTCATATGGCAAAACAAACGGTCCAGAGTAGCGTGTAACCTACTATACAGACCTAAATCACGGGGAGGACTGTGAATGCCAAACCTACACATATACTATTTAGCAGCCCAACTAACGCAATTTATCCACTGGCACTCACCACCCGACATGAGACGCTGGGTTGACATTGAATCCCTAATAACAGGGGCAGACCTACCCCAATTCTATAGCTGGATACCTAAGACCCAGAGACACATACTAAAAGTCTCGTGCCCGGACATTCTCAACATTCTACATATATGGGACAAATCTAGGCTAAAATATTCTCCCCGCCCCGCTCACACCAATACTACATAATAGAGCATTCCCGCCAGGTATGCAGGCTAGAGAATATAAGGGACTAGAAGCCACCGGACTCCAAAGATACATGCACCTATATGTACAAAAGAAGGTAGTCACATATGAACATCTAAACAACAGCTCACCATTACAAACCCGAGACTACTTCCGATACATACAGGTACAGGACTTCGCGAGGCAGAGGGACATGGCCCAGATAGCCGACAGACCACTAACCAGACTTGAACATCTATGCTACTCTGAAACAATACAAACCAAACTGATCACCATGTTATACGAACTCCTCAGTGCCGACTCCAAGGAATGGGGACCCCTACGATACACGGAACAGTGGGAAACTGATCTTGGGGAGACCCTGGAGGGAATCGACTGGCAGGACATCTGGGAGGCGTGCACCCAGGTGTCCATGTGTATGACTCTGCAGGAGCAGGCCTATAAGACGCTGTTCCTGTGGTACACCACCCCGGAGAAGCAATGTCACATGAAATTGACCCTCACAGACACATGCTGGCAACAGTGTGGCACCAAGGGAACATATCTCCACATGTGGTGGTCCTGCCCGACCACTGTCGCCTTCTGGGGAGGGGTGGTAGAACTGGGCTCCTGGGTTATGCAGCATAGACTGGAAATGGACCCCTGGGCATGCTTACTCTCACGACCAACAGAAGGTTTAACTAGACATGAGCAAAAACTCTTAAATATGATATACCTGGCTGCCAGAAGAGCCATAGCACAGAAATGGCTTAGTGTAGAGGGTCCTACACTCATGATGGTAACCAACAAAATAAGGGACAATTATCTTATGGATAAACTGACAGCCCAAGTGAGAAACACCATCACAACATTCAATAAGGTATTGGACCTGTGGAAGCAACATGACACGCCCTAGACCCTAAATCCTGCACCATGGGGCAAACACGCCACAAACCGGATAGAAACGGAGGCTTGGGAACTGGTGTGGATCCGATCTGGAATGGGCAGCATTCCTTTACTTCTTACTCTTTACTTTCTATACTCCTCCTTATCTCTTTTTTCTTTGTCACACCATCCTGAGCAAACTCAAACTAACTCAAAGCACACTGGGCCCAAGGTAGAGAGAGTGGCACCTCCTACTATAGGGAACCCCCAGGAACAACTGGATCGCCACCCAAAACCTGTCTGAAGGAGAAATCAAAGAAGACAATTACAAGATCCACCACCCCACAGGATAGATAATGGTAGTTCTACCCCTCTATTTTTCACTTCCACTTCTCACTCTCATTTTTTCCTCCTCTTCTTACTTTTTTAATAATAAGTTAAAACTAAGGCTGCAGACATATTGCTCTAACAATGTACAGAATTTAAACCGCTAACGCCTGCGTGCGATCACCCAGACGCGGATGCATTGTTATCGAATCACCTATAACAAAGATATGTAACATGTACTGATATAAGTACTTATGGATCATACTGATAATGCAATGTTTGCTTACCTTATTGAAAAATAAAGAATATTTAAAAAAAAAAAAAACG